ACACTAATCTCTTGATTAATATTATTGCAATCTACTTAATTCTATAACTAAACCTTTTAAGCTGGTTAAACTTTATCAGTGCAGTAAGTTCCTTCAGAGCAAATACTGCCACTAGCTCTAATGGAATGAAATAAGAAAGCAAATTTGACGTCTAGTTTAGAGATACCCAGTCACCGGGAGCATACTTTCCAGGCTGGTCTTAAAAGGAGGTAATTTAACAAGCGTTTAATACACACGCAGATGACTCCTACGCCAACATGCGGCCAAACTGGAAGGTGCTCTGCTCCAACCACCCAGGAGGAAAATGCAGACAATACTTTCCTCCATGTTGGCTACATTGTATTTCTTTTACTGTCATTTCTAAAGCCAACAACACTATGTTAATGTGTTATCTCAATTAATACCCACCGTTTTGCGATTGCTCCAGAAAAGTACAGGGAAAGAAAAGGTTTCACTACTACGTGCCACTAATAAAGTTAGGAAAGCATTTATGTTACACAATGTTAATAATTATCTGTCAGTCTTTTTTTTCCTTTTCCTGGAAGATATTTACTGAAGAACAACTTCTTTGCATTAAAAGTACAAATAGAATAAGATTATATTTGAACAGGAGCTAACAAGGACTGATTCAGCAACAGAGGTTTGAGAAAAAGGACCGACATTCAGAGTAAGGGCCACAGCTGTAACTATGTGATAGCAATACCCTTTCTTAATCGTTTTAAAACACTCCTCTACACTCATTATATCCTAATGCTTAAGACCATGCGGTGTGGTAAAGAAGGCAGGGATTATCATATTTACTCTCAAACAAGTACACCACAGTTCAGGTGAAAACCTGCCCAGGGTAAACAGGAAGGAAAAAATAATAATGCTTTTTTAGAAGAAATCCTTTAAACCAAATATAGCCAAACACTGAAAGATTATATAGTGAAATTTACTTGACTAAAACACAAAATTATTATTAAAACAGTGCTGAAAAATCTCTAAGAGAATAAATTAAAAATAGTGGAGGAAAAAAAATGCATAATTTGGTTTCCCTAATGTTTCAACTAACGCTTTCAAGTACAGTTAAAAACTACCATACAAATCCTCTTCCAGTAAATCTAACTTGTTGTAAGCATAGGAAAAATATATGACCTGTAAAAATAGACAGAAGACACTATCAGCAACCCCAGCCTTTCATTCACAAATATACCCAGACAAACAGGGATCCCCAGAAACCTGAAGAAAACCACCACCACAAAAAAGAACCAAAATGAACAAATTTAGGGATTTAAAGCAAAGAAAAAACTTAAAAAATAAAATCTATTTAGTGTCCTAAGAATAAGATTATGTTACATTAGTAAAATAAGAGCATGTGGCCGTAAACTATAAAGAATTCCCAGGAATATAAAGTAGTAGCTGAAATAAATAATACAATGAAGGGCTAGAATAACAAGTCAAGGAAATCTCCCAGAACAAAGAGGAAAAAAACAAAGACATGGAAAATGAAAAAAAAAAAAATTGAAAACAGTGCACTGATATATAAGCTCTAGGGGAAAATTAAAAAACTGAAGCAAAGATGTAAGAGTCTGCATTTTCAAACGGTCCGCCAAATGTTTTACAGAATGAACTAACAAGGACTATATAACTCATCCTCCTCAATTCTCATAATGCCAATGGTCAAGAGGTACCAACACAAAAAGTTTCCAGAGAACAAAACAGGTTGCCAAAAACACCCCTTCACGTTAGCGCCGCACCTCTTCTCGGTAAACCCGGTTACTATAAAGCAATGGAATGCAGCCTTCAGAATCCTGAAGGAAAATCATTTAAAACCTGCTTCCTAAACCCAGCCAAGGTATGTACCAGGTGTGAAAGTGAAAGGGACATTTTCAAACACTGTGCTGACAAGCACCTACACAAGCGCTCTTTCTAGAAAAAAATTACTTTTTCAGGAAGTATTCTAGAAAACTGCAAAATCAGTCCAAAACAAAGAGAAAAGACATCTAAGAGAGCAAAGAACTAGTCCAAGAATGCAATTAAATAGCACAGTATTAGCTGGGCATCATACCCAGATACAAAGGCAAGTCATATTAGAACCTCAACAAACTATTTCAAAGACGGATGGCGGGACAAGACTGAGGAAACTGAGGCAGGGAGGCTGGGCGAGCGGGGAGAGGCTGTAGGGGAGAAACGGGAATGAAAAACATACAACAAAAAATAGAGATGGGTAACCGAGTGATGGTATGGAGGCTCTCACTCTTCTACCAGTACAGGGGAAATGTGGAAATTAGTAAATCCAGGTTAAAAACAGTTACAGCCCAGACTGAAACATGGCATGATCTTGAGTACCAATAGTGTGTAAAAATCCATTTGTTCTCAATGGATCCCAAATAGTAACTGCTTTGTTTAGTAGTTAATATTATATACATAGCATAACATTGATTACTGCTTTGTGGAATCAACAAATGTAACTATTAGACCTTGATGACATAAAATAAATGTTACAGTTGACATAAATTGGGAGAGGAATGTGTGGAATTCAAGGGAAAGATTGTAAGGGGTACTAATTGTTCTTAATGTACAGAGTGACAAGATTAGGTCTAAATAATTCATGGAATTACTGAGTCAAGAGCAAGAAGTTTAACCAAAAAAGGCTCCAAAAATGAACAGTAAGTATTAAAAGTAAAATTGTTCCTTTTTCACAATGGGACTATACTAGATTACTTAGTCAAAAATAAAGTATAACATTATATATAAAATTGGAATAATCAACAGAAGAATTAAAAATACAAAAGGTCAAAAATGGTTACCTCCATTTTAGGAAAGAAACTAGTTAAAAGAGGTACAGGGTAGAAAGATTATCACTTTTCATTTTATACCTTTGTGTACTGTTCAAATTCTTATGTTTATAAGCCTATTACTTCCAGAAATTAATACACAAGTGTACTCATTCCACACACACACACACACACACACACACACACACTCACTCACTCACACACTCACCAGAATCCTGTTTCCCCAACCAATGCAGGGAAAACCACTGAGAAATTCTTTTTTGTTTTCTTTTTCTATAGCCCATGTACTACATACCAGCCTTCTACAATGGTATTCCAGAGAAGACACAATTAATTAAACAGATTCAACAACTACCCTAAGCCCTTGGTAAAATGTGGTAATAGTAAGAGCTTACATTTATGTTAAAATTGTCAAAGCATCCACGTCCATTATCTTATTTAATCTTCACAAGGAACTTGTGCGAACAATTTTAGAGATTAATAAAGTAAACCTCCAAAAGGGGTAAGTTACTTGCCACCCGCCCGCCAAAAAAAACAAAGAAGAATATAAATATAATGGGTAAGTTAGAAAATAAACCAAAAAATATCTTCCTTCATACAGCATGAAATCTGAAAACTCTTTCCCAATTTCTGATATGAGAATAACATAAAAAATTAAACTTAACACAAAGAGTCAGCCACTTTGGAAAACAGTTTGGCAGTTCTTATAAAGTAAAACACACACTTACCATATGACCTAGCAATCTCATTCCTAGGTTATCGCCCAAGAAAAATGAGGACATCACACAAAGACATGCATGCAAATGTTCACAGCAGCTTTATTCCTAACAGTCAATAACTAGAAACAGCCCAAAGGTGCATCAACTGTTAAACAGGAAAATTTTATGTCCAGACAGCAAAACACTACTCAACAATAAAGAGGAACAAACTAATGATATATATATATATATCATTATATACACAGACGAATTTTAAAAGTAGTATGCAAAGTGAAAGTAATCAGACACACAGGACTACATGTTGTATGATTCTACTTACATGAAACTCTAGAATGGCAAAATTATAGTCACAGCCGATTAGTGGTTACCAGGGGAATGTAGGAAACTTTTCAGGTAATAGAAATGTTCTAAGTCATGATTATAGTGTTTGTTATGCTGCTGTATAAATTCAGCAAAATTCATCAAAGTGTACACTTAAAATTAGTGAATTTTATTATATGTATAATAAATAACTCAATAAGGCTGATTTTTAAAAGCTCAATAATACATAAACATACATAACTCTTCTCAACAGCTTTCCAGCATAGGTATGAAATACAAACCTAGAAAGAATATTAAAATCACTACTTAAGAGGCAACTTTTAACCAGAAAAAGAGATCTACAGTAACTTTAAAATCTGAGAATGAAATGGCCCTCACCCTACTCAACCTGGCCATGTGGATAAACAATAGTTGCCAAGCAACTAATCTAAACTCTAGATTTCTAATAAACACATTGACCACATTAAGCAGGTGATCTCATAGAGGATGTAAAACATATTTTAAGTTTCACATTGAATAGTTCTTCCTTTAATATCATGAAAGTATAATAATGCATTTGAATTATTTATCTAAAGTAGCGGTGAACAAGAAATACTACAAGTAGATCATGAAAAATAAAAACATAAAATTAAACATAACACACATAAACCCTTTCCTCATTTGGTTTTTTACTTCAGCATTTTACTTACCTACTCATGAGATTGCTGAATCCGTGAGTTTGTGGGTGAACCCTCCCCCTTTATTACTAAATTTTTCCCTACCACCACCCAAATTGGCTTGCTGTCACTGAATCATTTTATTTATGTTTACATGTCCTGAAATGCATACAAGTTAAAGACACTTTTTTAGATATTAAATCATTCTAAAGATTTCCCTCTGGATTGTATAATCTGTAGACAGCACAACAAATACAACACAGATTTTCTGTAACATGCATGCACACGACAAACTGGAAAGCCAAACTCGATTATAAATGATCAAAATCCAGAATTACAAAGGATCCCTAAATGACAAGCAAATTCCTAACACATATGTTAAATATCATTTCTCTCTCACTGGACAGAGCATGTCACAGTTTACTTTGTTAACAGCATCAGAAAAAAAAATATCAACTTCCAGGACACCACTAACTGTTAGCACACTTACCAACTGTGTTTTTTGGGTCTCGTTGAACACTTACCCCTCTTCTGAACCCAACCTTCTTTCACAATGGTAACATCGCTCATGATGGCTCCCCTCTAGCCCCCAACTTGGAGAAATGGTACTTTGTGATATCAGCTTTGGGGTTTGGATTCTCTGCTGCTGCTGCCCTTCCCACTCTCTAGTGATGACTCAGCCTGGAAGGAAGTATTGAAGAAAGAATTTCTTTTTTTTTCCATTCTTGCAACTCACATAGCAATAACAAACAACTAATTCTTTGTCAATGTCTTCAACTGGCCTGACCTCACATAAAAGTCTAGCTCTTCCAACTGGGGAACTTATTTATTAAATAGTTGTATAATGAATGCACTTCCCTGGTCTTGTGACAGATTTCAAATGAGAGTGAAACTCTTAACCTAAGAGGTTGCCATAAAAATGTCCTAAGAAAACCACTGTCACCCCTACAGAAATAATATAGAAAATGTGTTTAGTGATTATATTTCAGGTGGAGAGGAAGAGAACAAAAGGAGAGTGGATTTTAAAAGTAAATCTTCATCTATGTCTAGTCTCATAATCCCTGTAAATTTAAAAATAGTTATTGGAAAGCAACTGTGAATGTTTTTAATTGTTGTATTTTATATAAAATACCACGTGCTAAGAAACTAACATTTATGGATGCTTACTCTGCCTTGTTCCAAGCAATATTTTAGGTTGATTACAATCAGTAAAATATTATAAATAATATAAAATCAATTATTTTTTAAAGTAGGAAAAGTGAAACAAAGGGACTATAAAGGTGGGGAAAAGTATGGAACATTCAAGATGTGTCAGGAACTTGTGCAGGCGCTTAAATCTTTATTCTCAGGTAATCTTCCCAACAACCTTGTGAGGGTTCTAGTAACTCCATTTCACAAATGGGGGAACTGAGGTGTGCAGAGATTAAGCAGTTTGCCCGATTTGAAAACAGAGTAATGGAGCCAGGATGTGAGCCCTGTCTGTCCAGCTCCACGGCCTGCATTCTGAACTCCAAATCTATGTTCCCTTAAATCAGTGAGTTTCAGCTGGTGCGCTGCAAGAATTTTTAAAGCGTGCAATACCTATTTGGTCTGGGGCACTGACCTCTTTTTCCTCAGATTGTCAAATAAAAAAATGACCAACAGCCAACACAATAGCTGTCCAGTGTGTATACATCAAAATCATACCTATTTTTTGTCAGATCAGCAAAACATTTCTTTCTTGGTGCGCTGCAGAATTTTGGTAATTAGTTTGTGTGTGCCGTGAGATGGAAAAGGTTGACCACTAACTGCCTTAAATAAAAATAAAAAGAAGCCAAAGTAAAAGTTTATGTATTTGTGAAAGATGGGCCACAAATTTAGCACGAGCTTTCAAGAAGCAATGCAAATAAGGAAACACAATGGTTTCAATATTTACAGTATCCATATTTTTCTTTAAAGAAAAAAGTTGCTCAGAAGTAATTCTTTTTGGGACAAAAATCTGAAATTTTTCTCATGGGTCTTTACAAGACACCTTATAGTGTCAAAAACAAAGTCCTCAAAAATATCCTCACACATAAATAGCAATGAGTTTTACAGGACAATTTCTTATTGTCCCTCTCAACCTAAAAAGGGAAATACCAAGATAAAATTGAATGAAAGCCATTTCCACGTAAAGGGACCAAAAACGTGGTCCAGGAACACATGCATAAATTTTAGATAACCACAAAAAGTGATGGATGGACTCTAGAATATTAGTGTACTATTTTCTCATTGCGTTTTGATAAACGGGGCGTGGCAGTGCGTAAAGGTTGGACTCCTCAGCTAGTACTAAACTGAGTTACAGTTCTTGATCTGATGCAAATTAAGTGCACAGCCTAATCATGTAGCAGTCAGGAGTCAAGACTGACAATCTGACAAACTGTGTGTGGCTGAAGACGACTCCCATCACGGGACAGGGGGCTGTGGGCCAAGACCGTCCTCAAAATCATCCGGCTTTCCTACTGTGGAGAGCCAGAGGGACATTGGAATCTGGCTGTATTTTCCCAAAAGATGCTTGACAGACTATTAAAAGAAATGCTGGATAAATAAGAAAGATTAAAAAAAAAAAAAAAGGAATTCTTTGGTCAAGTAAGTTGGGAAAATTGTGCAAACCATGTCTTTCCCTTGAAACATTACTATTAACATATTAAAATATCTCAGCAAATCTTACATTTATTTGAACAAATAGGGCTCTTTTTTTTTCTTCTTTAGTAACATGTGTTAACATCCATAGGAACACACTTTGGGAAATGGCCACAGGACGCGGCCATACAATCCAAGAGCAGACTCATTTCACCATTAAAAACAGGCAATGAAACAGCCAAAAAAATCCTTCAGTACAGAATCCAAAGATCTTCTTATTTGATTTAGGAAGCCTAAAGAACTCAACATGTTCAACTGACTACGTAATACACGTAGAGCTAAATAATTAAAATGGTTAGCTCTTTGCATGAATAATCATGAGGAAGGTAAATACTGGGAGCACTCGTACAAAAGGCAGGCTTCAGAAGACATGCCCTTCAGACCTGCTCTTTGGCAGAACTGTAGCAAGGGGCCTCACACCTATTTAAGCAATTTTTGGTTTCTGACTATAAAATTATATAGTCTGGGTGAAAGAAAATTTATATCTTTATATCCTCGGGCTTAGAAATGGAGATCAGGGATCAACACGTAGTAATAACCCAAACATAACACATATCCAATAAACATATTTAAAATGTATACATTCCTATTTAAATAATCTATATTACCATACCTTTATTAAAAAAACACCAGAAAAACAAAAGTATTGTCAAAATTGATTTTATTTTTTTTTAAGTGGACATTTCATTATAAGAATATCAAAGCTGGAAGAAACCTTAGTTTACAGTTGAGAAGGCTCTTGGGCAAGCGACTCGCCCAACGTCACACAGCTACGTCATGAGAGACCCAAGACAGAGGACCAGGCAACGCTCTTTCCAGCAGCACCACCTCTTCAGTATAAAACAATGCACCAAAATATCCAGATCAACCCAAAGTTAATGAATTCTGTTTTATAAACTTTCAAAAACTAGTATTTTAGATATAAAAATGCTTATATAGTCACATTAAACTGTTAAAATATATGTTAAATCAATAGGACAAATTTATCATCTTCATCAGGGCCAGTGACCCCCACATACTAGAGAGAACTTTGTGCGTTTGCCTCTTAAAATGTTAACAGGTTCTACCCATAATCATAATTTTCAGCTTTAAAAACTTCTGAGTCTCTACTGACTAAAATGACACATTCTTTGAACATAACTTAAAAGACATCCCAAGGTATACTACTCTGTAATTATGATCACTACGCTAGAAATAAATGCTCTTTTGTGCATAGAAACAACCCTATTAGGTCTCAGGCGGTAACCGGTATTCTGCGCTTGTCCGGCAGTGGCAATTTCCCCGCGCCCCGGTCATCTACTCTCTTGGGCTCAGTCTCCGGTGTCACTAACTAACTAATCTGCAAAATGATGAGCTGGGCTTCCGGGATGCAATCCATTCCCGAAGGCAGAGTGAACTTTACCTCCTTCTAAGAGCCCTCACTTCTGCACAAGTTCGTCCTATAACATCCAGAACCTGGTTCATTTTTCTTTTAAGCCTATTTCATCAAACATTCCATTGCTAGGTAATCTAATTTTTCCCATTCTTATGAAAAATTTCACACAAAGTTCTTGGCAGATACAATTTGGAATTTACACAAAGCAGTTACAATAAAAGTGCTTTTGTTCAGAATTATTTGAGAATTTGATGATGATAATAATTGCACCTGAATGTCATATTACAATTTAAAAAACATTTTCACATCTTTTACCTCATTCAATAGCATTATTATTAGTGAAACAAGTTGACAGTGCCTGACATATAAGAGATGCTCAACAAATAAGGAATCAATCAGAGGATAAAACAAGGAATGAAGATTCAGCCTATAAAGCACAGGCTAAGCAAACTAACATTCTGAATCAACAGAGGGAATGGTACCAAGCCATCTTAAAACCAAGCCTGAATTTGAACATTATAGAAGCATCTACATATAAATAACTAAAATTATAATAAATATTCTTCCCTAGTCATTGAAATATGTTTCCTGTAGACCTCCATTAACTGTAAGGACTATTACACATTAAAATTATCCTTCTTAATTTTTTTTTTTTTTTGGTTAAGATGCTCAAGTTTCCATTCCCAAACAAACCAAAGATCAACATTGCCCATGTTGATCCATTATGGGAGGGGAAAAAGGGAAACAATGGCATATTTTCTTAATGATATTTATAAGAGTATTTTAAAGATATTTGTTCACTTATGATAACCAACCATTCAATTTGAAGCAAACATTAAACACCTTCAAATATCTTTAAAAAATATCATTCACTCAAAACATGTAACATACATGTATTTACTGAGTTAATAAGTATGTACTGTCTACTCTGTGACAAGCACTATATTAAGTATACAGGGAGGCAAGCAAAACGAAGCATTTAAAAATCTTTTCCAAACCTTTAATAATTTGCTATCAGCATGCTTTCACGTCTATTACCTCATTTGACTCTGAAAGCAAATCTATGTAGCAGCTACTGCATCTACAATTATGAATCTAGGAAAACTGTGACCAACCAATAATGACGTTACTTCCCACAGTTACCAGAACAAGCTGGTGACAGGTAACAAGAGTGACTATGTAAAATTCAGATTTTCTATCAGGTTGGTATGCTTTCTACCAAATAACGTGATATGAACTCTCAAAAATATGTGTTAACATTTGAGAATAGCTCTGAACATTTTTTTCCATATCAAATTATACTTCAGGTGTCCAGTAAAGCACAATGTTTTCAAATAAATTAAAAATTAAATATTATAACTGTGCCATCACAAATGAAATTATAATGGGAGACTAAAAGTAGAGCGACAAAGTTAAAAGGCACCTCCAGAATTCTCTTTTATACAAATAAAAGCAAAATTTAGGGGTTCACAATTGCCTATGTTAATTCGTAAGTTAAAAGCTGTACCAGAATTCTGTAATACAACTTCCTCTAAAGTATAAATTTGGCTATAATTAATATTATATGGAATATACTTGCTCTATACCACAATTTTTTATATATTTTAGATATGCCAGTAAACTGAATTAATGAAGACAACTCATGTTCAAGTACAACAGAATGCTGCTACTTTGAAATACAAATGATGGTCAAGGGGAAACAGGATATAACTTTACAGTATTCACCTATGTGCAAGAAATAGGCAAAACTAATACATGCCGTAAGTGTGTAAGGTTATATAAAACTTTTAAAATACGGAAGTAGGACATTCAAGGTAACTTGCTCTGCACTTCAAATTACTCTCAAAGTCAGTCTGTCCCTTTCCAGAGTTATTATCCTGTTTTTTAAAAAAATGATAATAATAATACTATATGGGGAAGTGAGCCACGCAAATTATATATTTCAAATATCTTTC